AAAATGCCTATAGGGTAATGGTAACGGAGCTCCGATATGGACGTGGTTGTCTCTCGTACCTGTATTGACATAATGGATCTCGGAGGGTCCCGCAGGGCCTGAAGGACGGTAAGATCAGATCGCATACGCGATCGGGTAGTGGATTAGATCCACCGCCCCACCACCACGATATGAGTGAGACGAGCTTTGGCGATGGTCCTGACCTAACACTGGGTACTCATCTTTGGGGCCCGGAGCCACGCAATGCGTCGGGATCGATACCCAACATTCAAGTCGAAGACCTATAGAGGATCCGCTCATTGTATGGTAACTCGTGATCAATTTGGGAATGGATACGGATATGCTCGACTCTCACCAACAATGGTGTTCATCTCCCGCACGTTGAACCTCATCCGGTGTCAGTCAAATATCCACTGTTGCTGTGCATCCTTAGGTTTACGGGACCACGTAAGACAACGGAACCATATGCGATGTTGCCCAACGCACCATACTATAAACACAGGCTTGGGATGTCTTCAGTTCAACCATGTATCGATCGTCAACAATGGGAGCTCGTATAGCCACATCATTTGTTGTCGGGTGCAGCATCTATGCTGCTGTGTGTCCTCTTAAGACAGATATGGAGACAGTGCGTTTCACCTCAGGTTAAATCGTCTATGTGGACAATCTACCTTAGGTCACTTGATGATGCGTTGGAGGATCATTGGGACACTTCGCGATCGTTTTATCTCCTCGTTCCCCCCAAGGGCAACCTTAGATGATGGAGATGGACCCGCCCCTGGTTACGATTACAGTATCTAAATAACCTTTTTGATGGTGGCCCTGTCTATGGGACCCCAGTCTACAAGATCAGCGTTCGAAGCAGCGACGCCGTACCCGTCTACCAGGTATGCTAGCGACCTCTCAAAGGGTGGATCCGAGGGAAGCAAGAGAAACATTAGAGATGAATTTATTCATCTGGCGGCGGGTTGTGGGGGGCGCCAGCCCAGAGGTAAGATGTCGTATCATCGTTATGGTGACCGTGACCCTGCCAGTTAAGTTTACCCAAACCCATTATCGTTGTCCGGATCGAACGGTTGTGGTCCTGCTGAAGATGATTCGGATCATACGATCGCGATGTTGCCCAATGTGGGGGTGCTGTCGTGTCCGGGACGAGCCTTGGCGGTGGATGGTGGTCCCGGGTGGAGGGGATCGGCTGTACCCAGTATGATAACGGGATCTGATATAGCCCTTACGTAACCCTTCCTAATCCGGTTGTGATAGGTAATATGTAATCTAAACTAGTTAAATGAATACTATAACATAGGGTAGACAGGGATGTAATTTAATGGTAAAATCGTAGTCTCCAAAGCTACTTATGATGGTTCGATTCCGTCCATCCCTAACCCCCTTAGCGTATTTGGAATTAGACACCTTGTATCATATGTATCTTACTATCATCCTTTAGCCTCTAATCAGTGGACTATAGAGTGTCAATAGAAAAATTGGTAGCAAAGTCGGTCCATGGCTTAGTATCCTATGTCTATTCATCACTGCTGTATAGGCTACTATCGCCTTTATTGAAGTAGGTATTGGAGGTTCTTCTGTATCTGTTAAATAGGGCGATTGGTAGGAATCCATCTATTAGAATGTAGAATGGACCTTCCTATTCGATCCTCTTACCGTATCCATGCTAATCCCTGTTACCTATATCTCTTTCTAGGTACAACTATACTCCTTGTCCTATATGCATGGTGACCCACATATCTCTCGATTCTTCTCTTACCTATCTCTGTTCAGCTTCTTCATGCTGATTTAGGTTACCGGTGAAAATCTACTTGTACTATTCGTTGGCTGGGAGGGAGTCGGTCTAGCATCCTTTCTTCTAATCAATTACTGGTTCACCCGTATCGCAGCTAACATGGCTGCTATGAAAGCCTTCCTTATGAATAGAGTTGGTGATCTAGGTCTATCCTAGGGTATCTAGTTGGCTATCGGTATG